AAGACTTGTGTCGTTAAAGTTTCGTCGGAACGAAGTTACGGAAAAATCAATTAACAAACGGAGACGTAACAATATGTTCACAAAATATATTTGAGATAAATATAATGACTAAGAGGTTAATTCATGAGAATCAAGCTTTACTTGAGATAATTAAATTATTTAGACAAGATCAGGAAGAATGAGACAGAAAATTGGAAGAAAGAGAAAGAAAATTAAAGAAAATCAAGAAGAATGAGATAAAAAATTAAAAATAATTAAATGAAATCAATGCAGTAAGAACAGGAGAGATAGTTAGATGAAATACCATATGAAAAAAGAACAAGAAAAAAAAGGAACTTAAGAGAGGATTAAAGTAAGAGACCTACTCTTTAGAGAAAATTAAAGAGTAGCCAGAAAAGACTTAATCTAGTTTCTTATAAAATGAAATGTATGTGTTTTTAAGTTCTGATAATATTGGATTTCACCAAGGAGACATTGTATGGCTAAACAGTTCTTATTATGAGAGAGGACAATCTCCATAGTTAGATAGGTATTTGGAGGAGAGGCTATACATGCTCAAAGTCATCCGTCTTCTTTTGAAGTATGTTGGTGAGAAAACAGCCAACTGAGTAACTCCAGAGAAGAACTTGTTAGCATAACCTCAACCTACAAAGGAGCCCAGAGTTGCTGATGAGACTGCTTCCAGGCGATAATAAAGGATGGAGCTGCCAGTGGATTCATTCGAACAATTACCCAGGAGAAACTTCCCCAGAAACAGGACAGCCAGCGACAACAGTGGACGTTTGCCAGCCTATGTGTATAACGTGGGCTTTGGAAAATAAAACCACAAAAAAAGACTTGGCGAATGGACAGTTTAGTGTAGTGTTTTATTTTTGTATTTCGAAAGAAAGAGAGTACTGTTGTATTTTTTGCTAGCGTGAGGGAGCTTCAGGTCTTTATGATGACATTAACGTTAAAAGGTTTAATAAGATAGGCCTAGAACACATATAAAATGCGAAAGATGTAATATAAACTTTTCTAGTTTATTCAAAAGTAGATTATAAATGCAAGGTTCTGTAAAGTATAAAAAAAATTATACAATTAAGAGAGTGTAGAATTGTTTGAAAGTAGTGAGTTTTCAAGAAGTTAGTAGAATGAATCAATCAATTTGTTAGTTATTGTGGTTTATTTGTACATGTGAGTTGATTCATTTACGTTTATTCTAGATCGTTAGAAAGGTTTGTACATAATGTATAATGTAAACTTACAACAATTATGACAGTATGCAAGTGTTCAAACATGTAGAACTGTTTAATAGGAAATAAACTAATTTCGTATGATTAAAGTGTACTGGACATTGACTTATTATCACCAGACAATTTAAAAGAATCTCCCAATGAAGGAACAAAGAGATAGCATTATTATCTTCAGAATATATCACAAAGAAATCAGAGGCTGGACAATAATTTAAACTTCAATAAGATCACCTGTTATCCCTCTTTTGTCAATGTAAAATAGGTTAAAAATATCCTTGTGCTAGATATATACGACTGTTTAAGTTTAACACGAGTGCTACGATTTAGAGAGTTTATATAGTGTTAAGCCTCCAGTTGTTAATTGATTTTCCATAACTTCGTTACGACGAAACTTTAGCGACACA